AAGAATCACCTAATACGTCAGGATTATGTTTTAAGGGTATCCTCACGCAAAATCGACTATTTGCCAGTCGCGTGGTGTTTTTTAAAAAGTGTTCTTCGCATAATTTTTCTTCGTTTGAATAATGAGACGCAGAGCTTACCTCTTCGAGGTGCCAGAAGCGTACTAACTGTTTTTGTATATCTTCATCTAAATCTTTACTAGCCTCATTTCGAAAGATTCTTGTAAAATTACATTTAACAGAGTTAACCCCCTTCTTTACATATCTATAATCAATCGGACCTGATACTAACCATCCTAAGCTAGTTTCACACAGAATCGGCTGACCGTCCCCTAATTTTAATCTCTGCGTTCCTATTAAGTCCCAAAAGACGTCAGCACCTATAAGCATGTCAACGGGAGCAGGTGAGTGAAAATTAGGATCTGCCAGAGATAATATTTATAGATGGAATTTTTAAGTTTGACAAATTAACATATCTAGTAGGTACATTTTCGGTTATTGATGGTAGGACAAAACAATGTAAGATTACTAGAGAAGTTATCATTCAATGATTTTATCGATACCTTACAAATCTTCTTGATGTGTGCCGAAGCATTATTAATACCGACTGATTTACATTTAGAGCGGGCAAACCTAGCCTTTGATATAACTCTTCAGTTATTAAACAAGCGTTACTGCCACTATCAAGAATAGCACGAGCAATATATGGACAGCCATTCTTACCTATAACTTTAATTAATGCCGTCGATAACAATACGTCGCCTCGTTCACTACACGATGCAGTGCCTACCTTTGCGGACAATGACAGATGTGCGTTAGAATTGGATGACGACTGTAAGCCCGTTGAATTGTTTGTTTGTTCGAAATGACCTTGCATAACAGGCTTATTATTACCACTACTCGTGTTAGATGTATTAATATCTGTAATTGGTTTTGACTGGTAATCTGCGATGTGCACGAGAGTGTTATGCTTTCGGTGGCATATTTTGCATCCTAGCTTTTTGCATTGATTTGCATAATGTCCTGAATTAAAACAATTGAAACATACTTTATAGTCTGGCAGTAACTGTAGACGCGCATCGTTACTTAATCCAAGAAACTGAGCAACTGCTTAACTTATGATCACCCTTACATTTAGGACACAGCTTGGCGGAAAAAGCCGAACCGTTTTTATTACCGGTATCCCGAAATGAAAGCATTGCCTTAACTTTTGGAGCACATTTTATAGAAGAATTTAAACGGTTAGTAGCAGCAGAGTGAGACATTTCTAGTGTTTCGATTAAATCGGCTCGATTTTTTAAAAACATCAAAAATATATCGAACGTAATAGGTGTATCTTTCTCCAAACGACCTTTAGACTCTTCCCATTCACGATATGTCTTAGCATCTAATTTTTGAGTAATAATATGAATGAGAAGTGTGTCCCATTGTTTAGTTGGCTCACCGAGGGATTCTAGTGCACGTAAATTTTTATTTATTTGGTCAATGACACGTTTTAAGTTGACAGACAATTCTTTATTAATTGGTGCTATATTGAATAAGGCTGTCACGCGATTTTGAATTAGTAGTCTTTTATTATCATATCTATCACATAATATAGTCCATGCGACGGTGTAATTAGCTGCCGAGAATTCGATTGACTGTATTACCACAGCAACGGGCCCTTCCAACGACGCTCTCAGATAGTGAAACTTATTTATGTCATCTATCTCGTCATTTGAATGTATGAGGCTCATGAGCGTGTCATGAAACTCTAACCAATTATCATAAGAACCATTAAATTTAGGTAGTTGAATAGTGGGCAGTTTAACAAATTTATGATTGCCGGAATGAGAGCCACCGTCACTGTTTGCGTCATCTGACTTAATGCAATCTGCTAAGATTCTTTTTGCAAGAGAAAGCGATTTAAAATAAAGGGATTCAAACTCAGTTCGTTCTGATATCTGAGCGTCTATGTTATCAGTATTACACTCGATGGATAATTGTACCTCATCATATCGTTCATACATTGACTCAATCCTACTAATACGTAATTGCAACTCATTTACCTCAGTAGCAGCCAATGAAGATACCTTCAGTGAATTTAAATAATTTGAAAAAGCAGTTATTTGTCCCTTGTAGCTAGCTCGTTTCCTAATTTGCTCCTTATCTTCTGGCATGTTGGCTGGGATTGGGAGACTAGTGCAAATGCCTGAAATTTATACAAACAAGAAGTTTATATTTTATAAAATATAATTCATAAGTAATTTTATACAATTTTGTTCACAGTTACAAAGAAATGAAAACTAATTCCCTTACTTATTTTTCAAACTCTTAAATAATTAAACAAAATGGTACATGTACTACTTTGATATTTAACTTTATAATTAACAATAATTAAGGGTAACAAATACAATTCAGACAATCAAACAGCTCCACTGGTATGCCTTAGTATGTAATAAATAATATTATGCAATATTTTCCAATTATACACTCTCTTGACTTATTTTTATAGTTTAAAACCAATAAAGAAAAAAATTATAATATCTTCAATATAATTTAACTAAGATTTATAATTTAATTTAATTATGATTTGACGGTTATTCGAAACTATATAAAATAATATTAAATGAATTTTAGCTGATTAAATACTTTAAGTTATACGTAATTATTTTGTAGGTAATTTGGTACTAATCTCATAAATTAGCAGTCGATTTACACAAAATATTACCTGATAATGAGTGCTGGGTTAAATAAATTAAATAATAGTCCAATATCTAAGGGGCTAAGACTCCAGATTTCTTGGTTAAATATCTTCACTCCCTCGGTGGTATTTGCACAATGAATATTTAAGACTTCCCAAGCGTATTCCACTAAATAATATCTTGTCCAATTACGTTTTTTCAAAGATTTAGGACCATGAATTGGAATTTGATCTCTTTTTAATAATAAAATGCAGTAATTTGCTCAATCGACCTTTACTTGATCTCTAATTTTTACAACAACAGGTACAACATTTTTTTAAATACTTTTTAAAAAATGTTGTACCTGTTCTTTCTTTCTTCTTTCTTTTTAAACTACATAGCTTACGAACTAATATTGGCATGAGAACTGCTAATATAATTTGACAGGCGCTTCAACAATACCTTATTTATTTTATATAAATAAATAAATTTCTCATATATTTTAGGTATGTGTACTGTCATGTAGCGACGAATAAAGTATCTTCTTTCTAATATAACTTTTGGAAGTTACTAGTCACGTAGCTTCGCCAACGTCAAGTTATGGGGAACATGGCGCCCGATGACGGCTTGTGAGCTTGCGTGCCAGTAAACACGTAACCTATCGACCAAACTGTGAACTCTCAAAATAAAAACTAGTTCCAGTAATTCGGTGTAACCGCGGTACACTTATAATTGTGTACGTGAGGTTAGACGCGTCTTTTCTCAGCTGCAGTATAGATAATCATTTTTATTGTAGGAAATACCTCATTTTAGTATACATCAGGGACTTTCGTAAGTAATATTATAACATCTTAAATTATGAATCAATATAGTAACCTTGATACAACCAATTAAAACTAAAAGAAGTAAAGTTATATGCTTTCCCATACATTTCTAAGCGGGTGATTGAAGTTGTTAATTGCAATTTTAAGTGGTGAGTAAGTAAGCGTATTCCAATAATATATGATATTTTATACACCTTTGCGTATTTTGTTAAAATTTAGTGCAGATTTTAAACTTTAGAATCTTAGAATGATGTTTCAAATTTAGACCAACAAAAAAAGAAAGACGTAGGGCTGTCTATTTTAAGTGGGGACGAAATCATATTGAACTTCATAGACGCACTCACGCACACACCTTTCTTCTTTCTTTCCTTATCAGCCTGTAAAAGTATACCGCTGGACACATATGCACCTAAAACGTACGTAACGTAACGTATACGTGTAAGTAACTACGTTTTCTTACAATAAGTAGATCTTGAACACCAGCGTAAAATAGTAGCTCAATGCTGCTGTGTTTCGTATGGTGAGTGTGTAGAACCGGAGACCCTTTTTACTGTAAAGGAGGCATTCCATCTTAGTCCTCACGGTTGACAACGCATCTGCATTTTGATTCGTAATCGAAGATATATGTAGATGTCTATGGGCTACAGCAACCACTTACCATCAGGTGGACTGTGTGCTCGTTTGTCACCCTGTCCTATAAAAAAATCATCGTTTTGGCTTTCGCAACGAAACTTCACTTTCACTTGAAATTGGTGTCGTTTGTCATTTGCCTCGCCTAATGAAAATCAGCGTTACGAATTGATGTCTATCTTCAATTCGTGACATAAAGTTGAGTGTAGACTATATTGTGCATACGAGTACTAAGATATTTTTTATGTTTTTCTTAAAATGAAAAGTAATCTTTTCTCTGTCTTACCTGTTTTTTTTATTATTAAAATGTATGTGGCAAATAAATCTATTACCTTTTTTCTTTTACATTGACTTTTTTATAAATTGCATTGACATATCAATGTCACGTTGAAATAATTTATTAACTTCATACTATTCTTTATTATCGTGAGGAATATCATTCAATTATTTGCCAGTATTTTTTTACTGTATGTTTTATTCTATAATAATGGTGACAAACGAGCACACAGTCCACCTGACAGTAAGTGGATGCTATGACCCATAGACAACTACATTTATCCTCGATTAAGAATCAACACGTAGATGCGTTGTCACCCCTGAGAACTACGATGGAATGCCTCGTTTCCAGTAAAAAAGCGTCTCTGGATCTTTACACTCACTATACGAAATTGGCTGGTATTCTGTGAGAGCGTGGTCCTTCCCCGGTCGAGCCGACCCATTCGTGCTAGAATCATAATATGCTGCAGCGTGGTTCTACCACGTATAAATGTTCGAATGTTACTCATTTAATAGCTTGTTACACTTAATAATTATAACTTGTTTTCTAACTAGGTATCCAACTGTTTAGAAGCAACAGTAAATCTTTTGCTTAGCAGGTGAAACAAAATGTTTAAAACATTCTTGGAATCTATACCACAAAACCGTTCGCAAATGGTGAACGATCTGGACTTACCTGATGATCTGACGGTTGCTCCATACGTCTGGACGGAGCCTGACGAATCGCTGCTTGACAGTGACGGTCTCATCTCTGACAGTCTCGGAGATTATGAAGTCAAGACTCTCACCACTGAGTCCAGCCTTGCTTTATCGCGCGCTATGACCGACTCTGAAATTGACTACGAGAGGTATCGTAGAGTGAGTAATAACCCTGAATATATCTAATACTGTACAAAATTAATAAGCATTTGTTTGTTCGTAATTTATGCGCTGTCATGCCGTTCATCAGATCGAGGTAAATTTTGTCAACATATTACATGCACTTCCGTGAAGGTTATAGGTATAGTCGGTGCCGGTAGGTGGCGGTAGTAGAACATAGATATAAACCGTACGTAGCCGGGGCAGAGCGCTAGTATAAGTAACCCTTTAACTTACAAGGACAAATTATATATATATATATATATATATATATATATATATATATATATATACTGTGTCAATATTCCTGTGTAAAAAACTTTTATTATAGTAATTATATCTTGTTTTCAATCCCAAATTAGTTTCTCTAGTGCTAGTTTTAACTAAAGCCCGGAGTGACAACTAGTTTTATCTGAAAATCAAATATATCAGTGGTAAATTCTAGTTTTGACCAGGTGTTTCTCATTTTCACATAGACATTTATCAAAAACTAGTTTTAACTAGGGAAAACGCGTTTTTGTACAAAGAGTAATTTGTATATAAGACGTAGTACTACTGCTATATTTACTTACTTTATACTTTTTCCACGATTATGTATATTATTTAGTTAAAAAAATTGTTATTTTCTTAGTACCTATACGTTTATTTCAAGTTAGTAGTATTTATTGATAGATCAATTTCATAATATGTTAATGTAAAATAAAAAATAAAAACATTGTAAAATAATGTTCTCCAGACCGAATTTCGGTCACGGCGGCCTGCCTCAACGGAGGCTAGCCATCGGCGCAGTACAGGATTAAAGTGCCCAAGTGTATGCGCAAGCACAGGTGCACTCTCTATTCCCTCACCCTCATAATCCGATGGGACGGTAAACCGACACGACCGGAGAGAGATCAGGCGCAGGACCAACGGCTTTACGTGCTTTCCGAGGCACGGGGGTGAGACACCGCCAACTTCCTGACTCCGGTCAACTACTGAGAATTTCTTGACGAAAAACTCAATAATTAATTTTTTGACCCGACCCGGGATTCGAACCCAGGACCTCATGATCACTGCCTCGTTGGTCTAGTGGTTGTAGTAGTGCGACTGCTGATTGTAAAATATCAGTCCCATAGGCTTCTACTCCGTTCACCTGTTACACCCTATTTTTTTGCCAGTGCATATACATACATAAACACTCACGCCTGTCACCCAGAGGGGTAGGCAGAGACTACAGACCATTTGGCACGATCCTGACACACCTCTCTTGCCTCCTTCACATCCATACACCTACGCACACATGCTCGTCGGTTAAAGGTACTCCTAATTTGGCCCGTTTTCAATAAATCGCCAATTTGGTCGATAAATTTTCGCCTAAGGCGTCCCTTGCCGACTCTGCCATTCACTTCTGCACCATAAATTTTCTTTGTCACTCTTTCCACATGACCAAACCACCGAAGCATTCCTTTCTTAATCCTGGTCACAACATCATCTTGCAAACCACACTCTTCTCTTATTACACAATTTCTTACCCTGTCATTCAGATTCAGCCCTAACATACTCCTTAAGGACCGCATTTCTACTGCGTTTATTCTACTCTCGTGCTTCTTCTGCCACACCCAACTTTCACTACCATACGTTAAAGTAGGGACCAACACAGCATTGTGAATTGCCATACGTGCCTTTTTCGACACATTTTGACTCTTCACAATAGAGTGCAAGGCCCCATTTACTCTATTTCCCGCATTCACTCGTCGTTCTATATCCTTATCATATCTCCCATCCCTCCTAAATACGCAGCCCAAATATACAAACTCATCTACTTGCTCGATCAACTCCCCTTCTATTCTTATTTCACAAATCGTGAGAGTGCAAGGCGCCATTTACTCTATTTCCCGCATTCACTCGTCGTTCTATATCCTTATCATATCTCCCATCCCTCCTAAATACGCAGCCCAAATATACAAACTCATCTACTTGCTCGATCAACTCCCCTTCTATTCTTATTTCACAAATCGTGTCGTAAAGCGACAATTAAAAACTAAATAACCTAACCTAACTACAACAAAACAACCAAAAATAAAATAAATTATTTAAAAATTTGAAAAGATTTACAGTTTCTTTTATAAAAAAAGGTATGAAGGTGATGATGGGCTGTAATGATGATAGTGATTTACAATATTATTAAAAAAAATAACATGTCGTAAAGCGACAATTAAAAACTAAATAACCTAACCTAACTACAACAAAACAACCAAAAATAAAATAAATTATTTAAAAATTTGAAAAGATTTACAGTTTCTTTTATAAAAAAAGGTATGAAGGTGATGATGGGCTGTAATGATGATAGTGATTTACAATATTATTAAAAAAAATAACAAAAATAAAGATACTGCAACGAAGTATGCACAGGCTATGCCTATGATAGGTGCGCAGCGCCTGCTCTAGGTACACGCAGAATCTGGAGAAAGCACATGCAGCGTCTGGAGAAGGTACACGCAGCGCTTGGAGTAGGCCCACGCAACGCCCGGAGCAGATACACGCAGCACCCGGAGTAGACACGCAGCGTCTGGAGTAGGTACACGTGGCGCTTGAAGTAGGCAAACACAACGTCCGGAGTAGACACACACAGCGTCCGGAGTAGACTCGCAGCGTCTGGAGTAGGAACACGCAGCGCTTGAGACAAACACGCTCAGCGGCCGAAGATAGCGCGGGCACTAATAGGTGGAGGCGTAGGCGTGGCTAGGCGACGACTTCAGGAGAAGGCTTGCAAGATCCCGAGGCAGTGCGGATAAAGCCTTTAAGAGGTGCTTCTCGTATCAAAGCTGAAGTGAGGACCTCTATCGGCCGATTCTTCGGCTTTTATCTTTTTGACGGATCTGGGATAAGAACGAGAAATTATTTGAAATTATTTAAATTAAAAGCAAATTTTTGTAAATGGCCAAGAAGAAAAGAGTATTTTTGAAGTAAAAACATCAGGCCGGTAATAATATTTGAATAAAAATTGCCACGACAACCAGATAAACAACGATGTCAAAACATGTCAAATTTTGGTTTTAAGCTCGTAATACAGAAACGGCAAGATTTAAGTGAAAAATGAGATATTATTTATATAGGAAAAAAGGTAGCGCAAGAGCGCGCACGAAACCCGAAATTGTAGAGTTACGGAGAACTAAATAAAAGATCGAAAAAAGGTAGACTCCATTGACACCGATTTAAAAAGTGCTGATAACGTGAAAATACGAAGTGAAAATGATTTGTTATTGTGTTCTTATGAATTAAAAATATTACAGGATCCTATGGAAATAAAGGTGATGCAAAATATCCAGTTTTGAGGTGAATGTAGAAAATCAAAAACAGAATGGAAAAATAAAAATAAAATAGTGTAAAATGATATGTAAGTATGTATGTAAGCATAACACTACATTTTCCCCCCGACCCTGGAAAATTTTTTGACTCAGCAAAAATTTTGAGATGTACATTCCAAAATAAACCATAAAAACACAGCTTTGCAGTAACAGACATCACCAGGCAATATCAGATATACTATCTCTTACATTCATCATCTGCATTCAGGTAAGGGTGGAGTTCACATTCAATGACTACCACTCTAAAAGTGTGTTTTCGAAAGGACATTCAGGCTTATTTAAGGAGTTGTCATCCGCTCCTGCGTGGAAAAAAAACATTTTGAAAGGACATCCAGGCTTATTTAAGGAGTTGTCATCCGCTCCTGAGTGAAGATAAAGTTAAAGAAATTAATCTTAAGCAAGCTTTAGCCGCTATGACTTAAGTAAAGATTAAGAACGGCCAGAGCGGTAGGGCTCAAAGCCAGAGATCAGCAACATCACTAACGAGATGTGTCTGAAATAAAAAAAGTGAAGATTAACCAACGAAAGTTCGAGGTCCTAAAGCAAGATGTGTTGAAGAACACTGGATCACCAAACAAACGAAGAAATAGATAATAAGGTGAGAATGATGGTGATATTTATACATATATACAGTTAATAAAACTTAAAAAAAAAATTATGATTTTACATCTTTGATGTGCCACTTGCCTCTAACTCCATTAGGGTCTTCAAGCACATAGACTAGTGGTGACAGTTTAGCTATCACTTTGCACTTGATGAACTTAGGGGCAAGTTTAGCATTAAAGTATGCGCCGGCATTGCTTAAAACATGGTTTTTACGCCAAACAGTGTCTCCCACATTAAATTCTTTAAAAGACCGGCGAAGATCATAGCGAGCGCTATTTTTAGCGTGAGCTATGTGAAGTTTAGTTTGAACTTTGTGAAAAATAGATGAGAGGAGACCAGCATTAGACGCGTAAATATCACGAGGCATAAATATCAATTCCTCAAGGTTCTGAGTTGGAGTATAGAAGGAACCACAAGGTATTGTTTCCCTACCAAAGACTAAAAAGTTTGGAGTAAAGCCAGTAGCTACATTTGTAGCGCTGTTCATTGCGTACTGAATCTTAGCAAGATGGTTGTCCCAGGATCTATGATCGTCTCCTACTAGAGATGCTAGAGCTGTAATAATTGTACTATTAAACTTCTCCGTAGGATTAACCTGAGGACAATATAAAGCTGTGTGAAAAATACAAGGAACGTTATAAGAATTTAAGAATGATTGGAATTCTCGCGACTGAAATTGAACCGCGTTGTCCATTATAATAGTTTGGGGAATGCCATGAACTAGGAAAACTGAATTTTCCAAAAGATTAATAATATTAGCTGAAGTAGCACGTTTAAGGGGGAAAAATCATAGTATATTTAGTAAAATTGCAGTTAATTACTAGAATATACTGATTTCGTCTACGAGTCATAGGTAATGGACCCATGAGATCTAAGGATATAGTTTGAAAAGGTCTGGAGCAAAGTTTGGGTTTACCCATAAGACCATAGGGAGAATGATTAGGGTGTTTGTAGGTTAAGCAGGTTTCACAAGACGAGATTAATTTGGCAATGTCCTTAAACATACCAGGCCAATAGTATTTTAAAGATATTTTCTTGAATGTCTTG